ACGTGCTTAAAAAGGGCTTTGACCTTTGAAGAGTTAAATCTCCACTGTGATTTTGTGCCTTATGCCACAAAGTGTGTCTCATTACTGGGATGAATAGCAGGATTTAAGGTGTAAGCTTTAGTTTTAAGACAATACCAGAGCTCTAAGACGAACAGATTTCACAAATGCCTGGTGAAAATGTAGATACACTGACTAAATAACTGAAAAATAATTGTATATTTGACAGAGTTGTCATTTCCATTTCTGTTTCCTATTCAAACTCTAGTGTGTTGCAGATGACTTGGAACAGTTTCAGCAATTAGCATCTGATTTCTGGCACCTGTTCGCTGCCTCGTTAAGCTCTGTGCAGCAGCAGCAGCGTCCTCAGCCGCCATGTTGTCTCTATTCATGTTTCTTGTCATTAAAAATTTACTAGTTAAACACTATTTTTGACTTAACATGGTGCTGCTGTTGATCCGGGGCTGCAACGAGGACGTTTTTGGAAAATCAGGACAACAAAACATAAACTGCATTGACAAAGAGTTACCACAAAAAAACTGCATGGATAGTGTCAAGAAAAATCATTGGACATAAATAAACACAAATTAAAACAAACACATGATGAAAAAATGACATTCAAATTAAAACTCTTAAAAAAGTATATATAATAAAATAAGATTGAATCAATAATAATTAGACAAATTAAATAACAGGGAAATGAATTCCATGCAGTAAATAGGAAGTTTACAAAACTGACACTTGCTAAAAATATGTAGGATTATTACAATTAATCTGTTAAATTCTTGATTGTTGCTGTTGATAGATAGATAGATTGATTGATTGATTACAATTAATCAATTATCTGCCAAGACTGTAAAATAAACAGAATATTGAAAATGTCCATCCCAGAGCCCAAGATGCTTCAAACTGCTTGTTTTTTTCCAGTCAACAGACAAAGATACTGATTTTGTAATTAAAATCAGAACGGAAAGAAGCAGCAAATTATCACATTTTACATTCATGCTGATGAACTGAACTGAAACTGGCAGCAGTTTTGTTAATTGATTAATCGTTTCAGTAATTGTCTTTGCAAAAACTCTCCAACTCCTCAAACGTGGTCATTTTTCTTCGTCTTCTGTGGTAAAAGTCGACTGAATGTGTTTGAGTTTCAGATCTGTTGGTTGGACAAAACAAGTAATCTGGGCCTGATTATGGGTGGTTTTCAGTGTTTGCTGATATTTTATAAACCAATCAATTAAAAATGGCTGCATTTACTAATAATTGGTGATGATAATTAGCCATTAGATGCAGCCATAATTGAATGTCTGCTCGGATTTCCAATTTATGAGCTTCCAGTAGTTCCTAATTTAAATCTTATTTTATTTTAAAGACATCTCAATGTTGCAAAAAGTGTTGTTTTGTTATCTGTACCAAATCTCACCCAAAAAATTTAAATGATACCCTAACCCTTCTGAACGTACAGAGTCTGTTTGGTAGCAGAGGTTACCGTGGTGATTTTGTGTGTCCATTATTTCATCTACTCTGTGTATACAGATTGTATTAAGTGTATTTTGTCTCCTTTCGCCAGATAAAGCTGACCTTGGGAAAGGAGCGCCAGTGTCAGCATCTGTCCGCCCAGATCATACCTGCTCACCTGGCAGCAGTGGCAGCAGCTGCCGCCGCCGCCATCGGCAACTCTTTCACGCACCGCACGAACCACGCCACTAACCACGCCCCGACCACTGCCCTCTTCCAGACACAGACCCTCCCCGCTGCCCTGCTCCGCCCGGCCCCTGGGCCTGTCAGGACCTCCCACCCACAGGTCCTATTTGCCCCTTATTGACCTGTTGTTTGACCTGGGCGGAGCTGCCCCACCTCCCGTCAAGGACCAAACCATGTGCTTCACCCACACCAGGCCAAGGAGTCGTGTCAGTACCTGTACTCCTTCTATGCATCCAGGATACTGAACATCTTCACACCGAGATCAAACCTCTCACCTGTCCTCATATGGATTATCCCGCATTCAAAGCTAAACTGGATGACGGCAGAGCATTGGGCGCTTTCTGGTGATGGATTTATTTCTCGAATCCCACTGAAACCTGGACTGTACATGCTTTCTGTGCCATCCTGCAGCCCGTGGCTCACACCCAGACCCCAGACTTGGACCTACATTGTACCGCAATAATGTATAAGACTAACCCCGTGAACTATGCAGTGTCATTATTTCATGATGTAAGGCACAGTTTGAGCTAAAAATACGGTAGGGATGTGCTTTTTGTAAAGATACAGCGTGGCACTAAGATCATTGCTTTAGTGGAGGATTACTGTCGCTCATAATTTAAAAGGCTGTTACTGATCATAAGAGCGAGCAAAGCCCTCCTCTGTTCCTGTATGCACTTTAAGCCCCTCCTCTGTTGATGTCTACATTAGATGGCTAGACTGTGTTAGATGGTTAGAGTATGTGTCGTAATGTGTGTTTTTGTATTCGTCCTTGCATTATCTGTGTGTGTGTGTGTGTGTGTGTGTGTGTGTGTGTGTGTATGCGTGTGTGTGTGTGCGTGCGTGTGTGTGTGTGTATGCGTGTGTGTGTGTGTGTGCGTGCGTGTGTGTGTAAGTGTGTATGTGTATGTGTGTGTGTGAGAGAGCTTCCCATCCACCATAAGCCATCCCAGTCGATATCCAGCACACATTGTCACTGATCATGTCTCAGGCCAGAGGGACCACAAAGGCTTGTGTATATTAACTGTCAGTGTGTAAAAGGTGAACAATTTCAAATAAAAAGAGTCCTAATTTGTTAACGCGAGTGGTTCTGTGTAGGTCAGTGGCTGCTGTCACATGTAGTCATGGTACCGGTTGGTGCCTAAAGAACCTCAGTTTGTGCGGTGTGTTGAAATCTACCAGCAGGATATTAAAGGTGCTATACGTGAGTTTTCTCTGCCGTCGAACGTGGTTTCTTGCCAGAAGTGGGTGGTGGTGATGGTCGTTTGCCAAAAGCTTCAGCCATTGTTGTGTTTACAATAAGAAAGGTTATAATACGTCCTCTGAGCAGCGCTACTTCATCAGGGCAGATTGGAGGCTTCAGTGAGTCGCTATCGGAAAGACAGGCAGGGGCTAGCTGGTTAGCCTGCTAACGTCAGTAGAAGAAAAGACATGATAGAAATAGAAGCAAAACAAGAGTCAATATTTCCACCACTGGAGAGTAAAGGAATTAAGTTTAATGCTGAACTCACAAAGTTTCTTCGAGACTGGTAAGTAAACAGCTGTTAATGCTAACGTTGGCAATGTAGCAATGGCAAAAACATAGATTTAGCTCCTTTAAAGTTATTTTAACTGCTGAGTAACATACAGAACACAAACTAAAATCCAGAGCACACAATCAATATTACAATACATACAGTACTAAAGATTCATTTGGGTTGAAAAATAAGATGTGTAACATGGAAATCCAGAAATCCAGCACATAAAACATATATTTCTCACCATGAAGTCAGGGATGTTCACTCCTGGTGCATATTTGTAACTGCTATGGGTTATTATTCACAACAATGGGTTTCACAAATCAGAAGACTTTCAATTTCAAATTCCTATCATGACTCCACTCCCACTACTAACAAAGTATTTTTCTCAGGGACATTCACGCTCCCTTGTTTGTATCATAATGTGTGTTTGTAATACAGAGGCTAATCTATAATCCTGATCTAAATGTTGCTCCTGGCAAATGTAATTATTTACTATTGTGACTGAGTGAGCTCAACGCACTGCAGCTTAAGGAAACACATTCAAACACACAGAACGCAAGAAAATTAAGAAAACGTCTTCATCAACTTGACAACACATGACTGTCGAGTGGGCAACACATCTACACCTGGTCAAATTAACCCATGAAGGGTGCATTCTTCTGCAGACTGTAGCCTGTTCCTACCTAAAATACATTTGACAAAGACGCAGTATATTGAGATAAATATATGCAGAGGCTTTAATAAAAACACATGTGGCAGACAAACGTCCACCAATATATTACTTCTTGCTACGCACACAAAAAATTCACAGACACTGATGCACGTATGCACACGCACACACCATAAATACATCCACGATGTATTACAGCTTAAAGCCCAGATGGCGTCGTTCCATCCAGGAAATAACATCACTGACAAAAGCAGATTTGAGCGTCTTAACTCTGACATTTTGGAGAGACCCCAATTCACCACAACACCATAACTCACTCATAGGGCACATATTAAACTCAGTTGTTCAGTCTGTGAACTTTTCCATGAACCCATATTCATCCATCCCTCGTTTGTAGCATATCTACCCCCCCCCAACTCCCTGACGCATGAAAGCTGGCCATCCAGCCAGATGAGGGAGCTTCTTTCCACCAAAGCCCCACGCTCGCACTCCAAAACCAATACAGCAGGCCGCCTCAGGACCTGGCTGCTGCTCTGTGAGTTGAATCTCTGGCCACCATCTCCCTTCCATTTAATCTCACTGGAGCAGTGATCACAAACATCTGTAAGTGGGATGCGGAGCCTCTCTATCTGCCGTGCAGGAGAGCTATCAGCAGAAAAACACTGCCTGACTCTGTCTCTGTCAGCAGCTGAACGTCCAACCAAGCGAGCACTGGAATGTAGATTACGCCTAAGTGTGACTCAGAAAAGAGAAAATCTCAGTTTTTGGCTCTGGGTGAAGACCAGACTATTACTGAAATCAAGTGAACCTTGGCTGAAGCATGTTTCAAGACAATGAATATAATAATGATGAAAAACAATAGTCTGTAAATAGAATATGTACTCTCAGTACTGTTTTATATTCAGCAGCTATTTATTCATATTCAAGGTCATCAGACTGTAGCGTGAACAAAAAACACCGCAAGTCAGCCAGTATTGTAGCATTTATTTATTTTTTAACAACTCTCAAGCAATATAATAGTGCATACCTTCTGAATAAGAAAAAAGAGCTAAAAAAAATCAAGAAGAAATAAAATAAAAGATATATAATAAATAATAATATATATTTTGCAAGCTATATATATATATATATATATATAAATAATAAAAATAAAATAAATCTAGTTAGATTTATTTAGTTTATTTGTTCACTTAGTTTTTTAATAGTTAAAGGATCCAATTGATATTAAAATAAAGTAAGTACTCAAACATAAAATCATAATTTTGTCATTTTAATTTCCCAGCCTGAAGATCTCCTGTAAAAAAAATGAGCCCATGGGTCGTTTGTGTAGCAGTTTATTATGACCCATATTTATGTTTTGTTGCTAGGCGACATCTAGTGGTCGTAGTAATTATGACAGCAGCAAAAGAAGAAAGGGCAGTGACGTAGTATAAAGAAAAAAACAAAGTCCATGTCAGTAGAAGGCTGGGGTGGATGGATGGGTTAACAAATCCCAGGAATATGACACAGGAAAGCAGTTAACCATGATGTTATTACTGTAACCATGACAACAAAGATCATCTACTGTTAAGGAAGTACTTATTTTAACCCCAATAACCCCTGGGATTGAACCCGCCGGCCGGCTGAGGTCTTCCTGTGTGGAGTCTGCATGTTGTCCTCGCGCCTGCGTGGGTTTCCTCCTGGTTCTCCAACTTCCTTGGTTGCAAAAACAACCAAGTTTATCTGAGCTTTGATTAAGAATTAGGAGATCATCTTCAGAGCAGGAAAAATGGCGGCAAAAAAATCACATGAAAAATGGCAACAAATACAGAGGAAATTGTCAAATAAAAGAAATAATGACTTTTAAACTTATATTTCCTTGATCAACATAAAAAAGAAAATAACTGATACTTAAGTATCAGCTGAAAATAACATGGACATGATATGAGGTGGTAAAATGGTAATTCCCTCTGATCACCAGGCTAAAATGACTGTATAGAGTTTAGAAGATTAAGACTGGCAGTAAATTGAGATAATTTAAATGGCAGCTGTGATGCAGATATAAACAGAGTGAGTGTGCCAGTCAAGAGGAGTAAGAGGAAAATCAAAGGCCTCATTATTATAACTACATTTGTAGCTTAAAAACCTGGGAAAACTGATCCGGTGCAAAAAGAATAATTTATTCATTTCATTAGCTCTTAGTGGGCAAAACCTGGATGTCATTATCATCAGGCCTGATGGAGCTGAAAGCAAAACACACAGCTCATTATGATCCTGAAATATATGAAAAATTCTTTTCCAGCGGATCTGTTGTCATGGATCCTGAGTCATAATTGTGTGACATTTTCAGCTCCTCTGATCAAAACTGTTCTTTCTTAGATGACATTTCCTTATACACGGTGATGCACAAAGAGAGCAACAGAATAAAAGCATCACCTCACTCGTCACCTTATTATATGCTTGGTTATGGGTGAATTACAACAAGCTCTGACTCTTCAACCAATAAAATGATAACGACACACACAGTCTGACAAAGTTATTTATGAGTGTTACCAAAGTTACAAGCCCTGTACTGAGGTTACAAGCCCGCGGCCGTGTTTAAGAGCATGTAGACATCTGTTTCAGAAATACTGGGCAACCTAAATTTCCTGTGGGATATACAAATCCTCCATGTAAAACCTACTTTTTCATGGAAGTGAGTAAATTCAATTAAGGTAAAACACAACATTAAGTGTTATTGGAATCAGTTACTTGCTATAGATTCACCTCCATGTGGTCTTCATCTCTGCAGTCGCCCTCATTCGTTTCAGTGTGCAGGGAGGTGATTTATATGCAAGCTACCTGCTTGGCACAGTCAAAGTGTGTGCCGGCCAAATTCCCCTGTCAGATTCATCATTTCGTGCTTCTCTGTCACAGTAACAAGAAAGAAGTTCATTGCTTGTCATTACTTATATTGAGTTGGTTTTTCATTTTTCATTTATAGGCAGTTGAGAGGAGAAAGCCCCTAAAGGCCACAGCACTCAGGCACGATGTAACAGACTCTCGACATGAGCAGCACTGACAATGCCCCCGGGATTCCTGGCAGAGCCGGGCAGGTCCGGGCAGCTCACTTCCATGTCCATGTAAAAGCTTTGATTCAACATTGTGATAAATGCCTCAATTAACATTCCAACCCATTAAGGCTTTGACATTTTTACTTCATCCGGACATTAGTGGTTTACAAAAAGCCTCGCTCCCAGTCAGCGAGTCGTTTTGAAACACTGTCTCGCATGTGATTTTGACAGAACACCTGCATTAAAAGCTCCCTGGTTTTAGTGTCCTGTGTGTGTGTTTGTGTGTGTGTGTGTGCAGACTGCTTTTAAGACTCCAGTAAAGAAAGATAAAGAGGGAAGGTTTGCAGAGGAGTCACTGAAAGGTTTGATCTCAGAGCACCTTTGCAATTTTTTCATGTGACTCACTGAGGACCAAAATAAGTTCAGAGCAAAAGGTTGGAGACTTAAAGTACACACACACTCACACATACACACAGGCACAGTGCGCACATAGGTACTGTATGCATAATAATCCACATCCACCCACACACACGTACAGACTGAAATCATTCAAATAGACACATTAAGTAGCAGTGTGTGC